GCAAGACACTAGCATGGCATACAAGTGAGACAGACCTTCAAGACGATGTAAGGCGAGTGGAGAGGTGGTTCAGTGGTTAGCAGCACTGGTTGCACTTGCAGAAGACCCCAGTTCAGTTCCCAGCATCCCTATGGCAACTCACAACCATCTGTAACTCCAGTTCTGGGGGATCTGATGCTATTTTCTGGTCTCTGAGAGCTCCAGCATGGACTTGGTGCTAAGGGCATCCAGGTGGCACAGCAGAGCCAGGCTCTTGCACTGGTGCGAGCTTACATGTATACTTCAGCACTGACGTGAAACCACATAACACAACTTCTTTACCAGGATAATATTTCTAAAACAGAGACTAATGGTTAGGCCAAAGAAAATGCTATGCCTTTACTTTTGCCTAACTTTACTTTACAGACAATCATGCTATCCTATTCGAGTTTTTAGCTATGATTTCCCTATAGTTTTGTGGCATAGTGCAGTATTCTAACCAGTGCATGTACCAAGAGTAGACTTCCTTCTGGATATGACTGTCCCACCAGCAAAAAACAGACGGCCACCTGCTAAGGAAGAGGATTTCTTCTAAAACCTTTGAAGTTCCAACCTAACATCAGATTCCCCCTGCGTTGGTCTCTGACCCCACACTCTATAATACATCTGATATGCCTTGGTTATTTGGACATGTTCAGTGACACAGCTAACATGTGTGTCACGGTGGAGTAGGATGGAGGTTCCTCTGACACGGTGTGGCCTTCCGGAACTTTAGCATAAGGAGGGGACAAACAAGTGGTACACAGGAGAGACCAGCACGGTGGGGGCAGCACTGTGGACTGTCCTGTGGGCAATTCTAGCCTATCACTGCAAAGGCCACACTCATGACTTGGGACTGCATGAGGTGTACTGTGGATGGAAAGTCTCAATGTGGTGATAGGCACTCATGGGTGGCATTTTTGATAAGACATCTGCAGGCGCACAGATTTTCATGGATCACTATAAAGAAACCCCCAAGCTAAGCAGACAGGGTGAGGATCTGGCTTTGGGAAGAGGGCGACCTTGACTCCTTCTTCGGATCTGGTGGACAGAGTATTTCATTACCATCCTCCAGCTCCAGACTAGGATGAGAGGGCTGCAGTGCTGACAAGAGTCAGGAGGAGGAAGAGCCGGGCTTCAAAGGGTTTCTACTGGGGGAGGACAGGCAAGGATGTTCCAGCTCAATTCCCATCACAGATTCCCTGGTACAATTACCATTTCTAAATAATTAGCACTCTAAGCCTCGGAGGAACAGAGAAGGAAATAGTTGGGGATGAGCTTGTTTACTCCTCCAGCTCAAAAAATAGCACTGTGAGGACAATGTGTGTCCATGACGCATCTGTGGAGGTGGGAGAATGCAGACCTTAAAGGACGGTCTGATGCGGTCCTGGCATCACCCTGTGTGGCCCTTCCTGCCATGCAGATATTCAGGCCTGAGAAATCCCCACCAACACCACCGTGGAGAAGTTCAGTGCCTTCCCCAGGCACCAGGCCACATCTAGAAAGGGTTATTTTTTGTTGTTGTTGTGTTTGTTTTATTTTCCTATTTACAATAGTTCACATAAGTGTAGGCACAGATGTGTATACTCATTTCTCAGTGTTTAAATTATGAAGGTGGACTTTGTTTATGATAAGCCTCCAGTGATTTAGAAAGTTTTTGATTTGGTGTCAGTGTGTGGACTTGGGTTAAAACCATTTCAGACTTGCTCACTTTGAGTCCTCTAGCTTTTGGAGTGGGTCATTCTCATTGCCAGACTCAGTCCATCTGCCCACTCGCCAGTCTGGCCTTAAAAACATCTGTGGGATTTTCCCAACAACCTAGCACATGGTTATCAGTGACAGTGAAATCAGCTGTGCTCAGGTCACTCCGCCCCCCCTCCCAAAGACCAGCTGGCTCCCCGTGCAAGCAGACCCTGCACAGACAGCAGGCCATACACTCACACCCTGCTCTCCATACCTGTTGTGTGTGTGGAGGCCTTGGGAACCACTGGGAAGCACAAGAAATACATTTAAAAGTAACCCCAATTCCCACACAGAAGGCTGACAGCAGCCTGGTTTTCCCTAAGTATTTTCTCATAATTAACAAGTTTTAAAACAAAATGACACCAACTGTATATCCTCTCTGGGTAATTTACTATATATACATATATGTAATAGTTTTAACATATACCTTTTTAGCCTTTTAATATTTGTTGTGGCTCAAAGAAATCTGTCTATGAAAATCAAACATCTGTTGCTTGAGATTGCTTTATGCTTAGAAAAAGTTCCTATAAGGTCTCACAGACCAGGGTAACAGTTACATAATTATTCTCTAGTAATAAATACATGTTCTTTCTCCCATGAATGTAAAAGTAACATGAACACATTGAGAAAAACTTAGAAAATTCAGAAATGTGTGAAACTGAGTGACACTGACCCTACCCCTCAGTGAGACACTAGAAGTAAGCCTTTAGATGTACTTCTTAGGCTTTTACAATTCACACCTTCATGCATATTTACCAACATACATACACACAGGCGACTTTCTATTACATTCACTATTTTTTACATGTGCTATTCACATGTACCAGTGTACTAGGTGTATTTTTTTCATATCATGAATCAGTCCTATAAACACTAACTGCAATCTGATATTCCATTGTGCTATAGAAATACAATAACTCATTTACTTAATTCTCTATTGTTTGGGGGGGCACTTGACTTAACTTCCAACTGTTAATTATTTATGTTAATACTATAATGAGTATTTTCTGTACATAAAATTAGTATTTCTCTGATTATATCCTAGAGGTAAATTCAGAAGGGTGGAAATTTCTAAGTCCATAAATGTTTTTAAAGTTTCTCATAGGGATGAAAACTGAGCCCTCTGGAAACCTGATGTTTACAGCCATCCTGGGGCATGATGACACCCTCAGGCTTGGTGCTTCACGGCCCAAGCACAGTATCACAATCTTCTCAAGTTGTAGTCAGTGAGATGATTAAGAGCGATGCCCTGCCCTGGCTCTGTCTAGGAATGGCAGGTCCAGCGCCACTCTGAGCTTGCTGGTAGCTGGGCTCCTATTGTGAAAGACTTGCTCAACATCTGACAAGATGCACGCAAGTGAAGAGATGTCATGAGGAGCACAAAAAGAAAGTCACACCAAAGCCCGACAAATTTTTTTACATGAATCTAATTGCAGTAACATTGGAACAGGGCTGAAAACCACTGTGAACTCAGTATATAAAGGTCTGCCTCCAGTTCTCACCAGAGATACTCACGGACCTGCCTGAGCCCCAGAGTTTAGACTCTAATACTACTCTCTCCCAGGTTGAAGGGGTGGGTCACCAGTAAACAGGATGTCCTCAGATGCCTGATGCTACTACCACAAAGCTTCCATTGAAAGGGAGCTCTGGCCAAGCTGCAGCTATCTCAGCATTTGAGACTCTAAGAGTCATCCACTTTAACTCCGAAACACAGCTCAGACAGAACTCAAGGTCTAAACCATCTCAGAATATGCAATGAAGTGGTCTAGCTCACCAGCTACTGGTATAACATGTGCGGCCTGCTCTCTGATAATCTGAGCTAGAACTTCTAGGCCACTGTACGAAAGGCAGCAAGGGAGGGAGGCTACAATGGCCCTACAAGAGTACTGACAATGTCAAGTACGCCAGCATCTTCAAAGATCTAAATTCAGCCATAAATTTTGTGGTCACCACATTTTTACATGCTTTTACTGCCAATGTGTTGAAGATAATAATTCACTAACAGGGACACAAATTTCAGATTGGTATATGTATTTAACCTACTGAGTCTTAAAGTACAAACAGTAGCAAGTGTTCCAGTCTCTCAGATACTAAAAACCTTTGTCATTTCTCATTATCACTTATTTGCCAAACCCTAAGTGCTATGCCTGCTGATCACTTCACTATTTACAAGTTACCATTTCCTTTTACTAGCCTTTGAACTTTGACATGTGGTGAATTTTACCTTTTATTAGCTCCCAGATGTGGTATCATTGTTTCATGATTGGGGAACTCACAATAAAAATATCTGTTCATACTCTCTGCTTCAAGAGTACAGATTCTCGCCTGGCAATGGTGGCACACACCTTTAATCCCAGCACTTGGGAGGCAGAGGCAGGCAGATCTCTGTGAGTTCGAGGCCAGCCTGTTCTACAGAGCGACTACCAGGATACACTCCAAAGCTACACAGAGAAACCCTGTCTCGAAAAACCAAAAAAAAAAAAAAAAAAAAAAATCTCTTGCCACATAGTTCCTGGGTTATCTCAACTCCCCAAACAACAGCAACTCTAGCTGCTCCCTGCCTCAGGTATAGATACCCAGGAGCTTCCCCCTGCAGAACTACCCCTTTCCTCAGCATCAAATGCAGGCCCAGACCCAAGGGGCAACTGACCTTGCTCAGAGCAAAGACTTGTGAGTACTCAGAGAGGCAGGCTGAGGCACTACAGACACTACCGGTCTCCACGTCCTGCCTGAACATGGATACCCATTGCACCATCACTCACAGCCGAGCCTTCTCTTGAGGGGCTTTGGCTCCAGACTCTCTAGTAGCTCTGAGAGTAGTGAGCTCTACACTGGAGCCACAGAGTCTTCATTTCCTCAGCATCTTAGTGTTTTGACACTGTTTTCAGCAGTGCTGCACTGCTATTCTTTCCCAAGATTGGCTAGCAAACTTTACACAATTCATTTCCTTGTGATATTTATAAGGCAGGATAATCCATTTCCATAAAACACCTTTTACTAATCACATTCCTTTTATAATTCTAAAGTATAAACTACACGAGTAGCTAACACCAGTGGGAAAGGATGAGCAATACCCACTTCTAGTACTCTCTTCCTTGGAAACAAAGCAAAAGTCTTCCCAGTCAGCTGTCTCAGAACTCTGAGAAATAAAAGGCTGGGGGAATCCAAGAGTCAATTTATTCAAGAAAAACAACTGGATCATGGTAAGAACGGCATATTTTGTGGCCTTTTTAACTTACCCTATTCTCATCCCCTTCCCAGCTTCAACAAGAGTTCAGGATCGGGAGCCAGCAGCCAGCAGCCAATGACTAGAGGCCAGAGCAAGGGTTCACCACGGCAAAAGCACCTGCATGTGACAAAGAAGAATTGCAACTCAGTAAGCCAAGTGTCTACCTCCAAAACCTAGAAAAAGCAGAGAAAAGTAAGCCAAATACAGCCATAAGGAATGACAGACATTACAATAAAAAGTAAACGAAAGGACAAGAAAACAAGACCAAAAGTTGGTCCCTTGAAAAGCTCACTGACAACCCTGTCCATAAACTAGAGAGAGAGAGAGTGAGAGAACTAAAATCAAGAAATAAAGGACATTACTACTAAACTTACAACCATAAAAAGAATAAGGAAACACAATAGATAAATTTATATCAACAAATTAGATGAAATTACCAAATTCCTATAAACAGAAACTAAAAAAAAAAATTCTGGAAGATATAAACTTCCAAGTAAAGAAATTGAATTAGGAAAAAAACCTTTCCCCAGGAAGCCATCTAGTAAATTCTGCCAAATGTTTTAAAAAGAATGAATACCAGTTATACTGGCTGGTATGTGTGTCAACTTGACACAGGCTAGAGTCGACAGAGAGGAAGGAGCCTCAGTTGAGGAAATGCCTCCTGGAGAACAGCTGTAAGGCATTTTCTCAACTAGTGGTCAATGGGGGTAGGCCCAGCCCGTGGTAGGTGGTGCCATCCCTGGGCTGCTGTCCTGGGTTCTATAAGAAAGCAGGCTGAGCAAGCCAGGGAAATAAGCCAGTAAACAGTTCTCCTCCATAGCCTCTCATCAGTTCCTGCTTCCAGGTTCCAGCCCTGCTTGAGTTCCTGTCCTGACTTCTAATGGTGGACTATGATCTGGAAGCCAAATAAACCCTTTCCTCCCCAACTTGCTCTTTGGTTGTGGTGTTTCACTACAGTAACAGAAAGCCTAACTAAGACACCAGTCCTCCCCAGCTCTTCCAAAGAGCATATGAGAAAAGGACATGCCATGTCCCCTTCCATTGTACGATATTTTTACAAGACCAGATAGCCTAACACCAAATCATTAAAAAAAAAAAAATAACCTCACAGAAGCCTGAGACAAATACCTCATAAACAAATCACAAGGAAACAGTAGCAAATTAAATCCAGAAACACATAGGTACAGCAAGATCAAGTGACTTTTATCCAAAATGCAAGGTTCAACATCAAAATGTAAGCAATGCCACAGGGGTGCAGGGCTCACCTAACAACAACCCGCACTAGTGTCACAGAGGTGCAGTGCTCACCTAACAACAACCCAACAACCTGCACTAGTGTCACAGGGGTGCAGTGCTCACCTAACAACAACCCGCACTAGTGTCACAGGGGTGCAGTGCTCACCTAACAACCCCAGCACTTGGGGGCAGAGGTAAACACAAGAGGATTTCAACTCCAGGGGCAGCATGGGTCCGAACTGAAAACTTGTCTGTCTCTGTGACCAAGGATGGCTCAGCGATAGAGCACTTGTTAACCAGGGGAAAGGTCCTGAGCTTGATCCTTAGCATCTGCTAAGGGAATGTGGTTGTCTCTCAGCTACAGTGTTTGTATGATGAACACATGACTGAACCTGATATGTCACCCAAACCCTCAGTACTTTTTATGTGTGTGAGTGTGATCTGCCAATTACTAAAAGAGGAAAACTACAGTAGCTCACAGGATTGCATATTTACCAACTTTTCCCTCTAAGTCTGCCAATTCTTCTCTGTAAAGTTCAGTAATTACATATACATGTGTGTATGTATATATAAATATGTATGTAAGCATTCTTTCTATATATTCCGAGGTTTAGTTATTAGATACAGTGAAATGCCACCTAACAATGTTTCAGTCAGTGACAGACCACAGAAGTTCCATCAGATTATAATGGATCTGAGCCAGGAGGGAATTGCTTGAGCCTAGGACTTCAAGGTCAGCCTGGGGAACACAGTGAAAATAAATTATAAAAGAAGGGAAAATTCCTGTTTACCAGTGGTATAGCAGCCACTGTCACGCCACAGCACACCGTGTGTTACGTGCTGGTATAAACAAACCAAATGTGTACAGTATATAGTACTTGACAATGACGACCAAATATGCTTACTGTAACATCCATACCTTTATCATCTTTTTAATGTGTACTGTTTCTACTTGGAAAAAATAAGTTTACTATAATGCAGCTTCAAATTGGCCATCCAGGGAGTATTCCAGAAGAAACCATGGAGAATGACATGTCCATGCATGCCATTTGCCTTGAAGTCCTTCCAGTGGAACAAGATGCAGCAGTAGATGACAGTTAACGCTGATGACCATGACTGTTGAAGGCCTAGGCTATTGTCAAATGTCTGTTCCTGTGGTTTGTTTTAACAACATCTCATTTTTCAAAAGAGACAAGAGCTTTCAGAGTGGGAAATAAAAGTGCAGTTGCTGCTGAAGAAGAAAGCCTTTGAAAAGGGAATACATTGGGGAGCAGGAACACAGACCACTGCCCTCACAGGGGCAAGAACAACCACTTGCTTCCCCCTAGTCACCAAAGCAAAGGCAAGCAGTTTCTGACCAAGTGTCTCTGTGCATGTGACATTCCTGCCATCAGGCAGCAGACTCCCTCCTGAAGCCGATGAGGAAGATACTGACATCTGATGTTAAGCAGGAGAGGTCTAGTTGGCTCTAGCTATAGCTTGGATGTAAAGCCTGTAGGCTTACACATCTGAACATGTGGTCCCCAGCTATAGCATTTGGAGGAAAGGTAGAACTTTCAGGAGGTGAGGCCTACCTGTGGTAAGTGGACTCTAAGGAGAGGGGGAAGCCTTGATAATCACAACCTGGCCCCACTCCCGCCCTCCTCCTATTTCATAGTCTGCCCATGCCATGCCTTCCCCCATGACGGACTATGCTCTCCTTTGTTTTCTGTTATAGTAACAAAACACTGAACAAAAGTAACATTGGGAAGGAAAGGATTTCTTTGGCTTACACTTCCAGGTCACAGTCCTTCACTGAGGGACGTTAATGTGGGAGCTCAAGCAGGAACTGAAGCAGAAACCACATAGAAATGCTGCTGACTGGCTTGCTCCCAGACTCAAGATCAGACACCTTCTTACACAGTCCAGGCCTGTATGCCAAAGGATAGCACCACCCACAGTGGGCTGGGTCCTCCTACATCAGTTAGCACAGGTATGCCCACTGGACCAATCTGATGAAAGAGATTCAACTGAGGGTCTCTCCTCCCAGGTGTGTGAAACTGACAACTAAGATTACCCATCCCAAATTATGAACTATGAACCAAAATAACTCTTTTTACCAGGAAGTTACTTTACCATGATGTTTTTATCACAGAAACTGTAGTGGGTAGTATTGTCAACTTGACACAATCAAAATTACCTAGAAGACACGCCTCCAGGCACATCTAAGAGAGATTATCTTGAGTAGGTTGGCTTCTGACCATGTCTTTTTGGGATTATCTTCAGTAAATTGGCCTCTGACCATGTCTGTTTGGGATTATCCTCAGTAAATTGACCTCTGACCATGTCTATTTGGGGTTATCTTGAGTAGTTTGGCCTCTGACCATGTCTGTTTGGGATTATCCTCAGTAAATTGGCCTCTGACCGTGACTGTTTGGGGTTATCTTGAGTAGGTTGGGCTCTGACCTTGTCCTTTTGGGATTATCTTGATTATGTTAATTGAAGTGGGAAGACTCACCCTAAAAATGGGCAGCACCATTCTTTGGGCTTTAGTCCTAGACAGCAGAAAAAGGAGCAGGCTGGCTGAGCATAGTGTTTGCTTTGCTTGCTGGCTGCAGATGCCATGCCTCAAGCTCCTGCCACCAAAACCACCAAGCTCCCCACCACAATAGACTGTACTCTTGAACTGTGAACCAAAACAGATTCTTTCTTCCTTAAGTTTCTTTTGTCAAGTGTTTTCCTGTGTGTATGGATGTTCTATCCATCCATTATGTCTGTACACTACATCACTGCCTTGCACTCACAGAAGCCAGAAGACAGAGTCCCTAGGACAGCAGTTAGAGGTAGTTTCGAGAAGCCATGTGGGTGCTGGGACTCCAGCTCTAGAGTTCTCTGGAAGTGCAGCCAGTGCTCTTAACCACTGAGTTCTCTCTCTTCAGCCCTCTCATCAGCATACTTTATCACAGCACCAAGAAAAGTAACCATGACAGCATTACAAAACACAACAGAGTCCTCATGAGAAAAAGTCTGGAGAGGAACTGCTGAAGTAGATTACTAACAGGATCCCAGCACAGGAGTCTGCTTGTGACAAAAGGGATCACACATATGTCCACCGAGAATCCCAGTGAAGCTGACTGTCGAATGCCACAGAGCTGTACATCTCCAGTATCATCCTCCTAGGTGCTGCTGTGGAAATAAGGCCCAGGGGCCTACCTGAGACAGCAGGGTTGGGGGCACAAAGAATCTTACCCACCTCACATTCCCAGTTCAAACCATGCAGGCTGGACCTTCCTGACAGGCCACAGAGCCAGCAGAGTCACAGGTATGGGAACATTTTCAAGGAGTCACATAACGTAAAAAGAGGAGACAAGTTCACAGATGGCTTTGATATAAGGTTAGGTGGAAGCCTCTACCCTCATACTGTGCAAAAGTAAACACGGACTCCTCCCAGATGAAGAAGAACTATGCAAAGACAAGGTGCTGTTGACATGTGGACAGAACTAGACATGCAGTCTTCTGAAGGGCAAACTTGGCAGGTGGAAACCAAGAGCAAGGTCAGAGGCTTAGCCCAGCTTGGATGGAGCACAGACCAAACTATAGGGACACATGGTCAGCAAGCTGTAGAGGCAGGGTACGAGCCAATGCCAGAGACATGGAAAGTGAAGCCAAGGTACTAGCCAATTGGGCTTTGCTTTGAAAGATCAAAGGAGATCAAATACAATGTCAGAGAAATAGAGGCATGCTGAAATCTGGGACTACAGAACTATTGCCAGTCTAGATAACACATTCACTCTCCCGAATTCTCTTGACCTACATGTATACATCACTGTAAAGGCACAATAGCATGCTATAAATTTTGCAGTAGAAGCAACCCCACTAGAAATGCATAACCATAATTATTG